ATCAGGATTGGAGGAACAGTGATCAATAACTTTGAGTAGAGTAGTCTATAGTAACCCTTGCTTTCTCAAAATGAGTACTTGAAGAGCTTGCTGCATAATATCAGACCTGCTGGTCAGTGTGGGTTGTATCTGAACATCAAGAAAACAAAAAAGTCTAACCACTGGACCAATAGACAGCATCAAAGTAGATGGAGAAAAGATTGAGACTGTCAACATACACTTGGAACCAGCAGTCAGAAGATCAGGGAACATAATGTTCTGGGAAAATCTGTAGTCAGAGACCTCTCCAAATTATTAATGAGCAGTTATGTCACTTGCTATGCATCAGAAAGCTGGACAATGACTAGAGATGCTGGAAGGAGAATTGATGCCTTTGAGCTGTGGTGCTGAAGAAGAGTATTGAATATACTATGGACTACTAGGAGAAAAAACAGGTTTGTTCTAGAGAGGATGAGACCAGGCTGCTCCTTGGAGGCAAAGATTGTGAAGTCTTGTCTGACACACTTTGGACATGTTGCAAGGAGGGACCAATCCCTGGAGAGGAACATCATGCTTGGGAGAGTAGAGGGACAGCACAAGAGAGAAAGACCCTTGATGAGATGGATTGATTCAATGACTGGTATAATGAGGGTAAGTGACAGACAATAAGACTGACATAGGATAGAACAGGATTTAGGGCTGTTGTACATAGAGTCGCTATGAGTCTACTGTGATTCCACGGCACATAGAACAACAATATCAATTTGAGAACTGAGGTGTTTCTGATTCAGGTATAGTCATATCAGTTATTTGCTGTGCCTCTGAGAGCTGGACAGTGACTAAAAGTGACAGAAGAAGAATTGATGCCCTTGAACTGTGGTGTTGGGGAAGAGTGCTAAAGCTTCCATAGTAGGCCAAAAGAACAGACATGGAGGCAAAGATGATGAAGCTTCATCTCACATTCTTTGGACATGTTGTTAAGAGAGAATATTCCTTGTTAAGGGACATAGTGCTTGGGAAGGTAGAAGATAAGTAAAAGAAGACCCTCAGCCAGGTGGATTGACAGTGACTGTAACAGTGGCTTGAGTGTGTCAGAAATTGTGAGGATGTCACAGGATAGGACAGGGTTCAGATCTGTTCTCAGGATCACTGTGAGTTAACTAGACTTGACGGCACTAAACAACAGTAGTTAAATAGGAAGCTCTGGTAAAGCTAGTGGCAAGAAGCTGGACCATAATCTCAAAGGCACATAGTTCAAGTCCACCATCTGCTTCACGGGAAATGAATGGGAATTCTCCTCCAGGATGATTAACTGCCTTTGAAAACCCACTGGAAGGTCAGGTATGAGTTCTAACTTGATGACACAACAACAATAACAGCAGTAGTTAAATCCAGGTGTGCTTGAATGAAAGACCTCAAACTTGTGTGACTTTCATCCTTTCTCCAGGTTCATAGGGTTTCCGGAGGCTAGCTGTTGTGGAAGTGGATGCCACTCCTGCTTCCAAGCTTATTTTAATTGGGGAGCTCCACCAAACCCTGTCCACCATGGGTAACCATTAATGCATTTGACACATCAGTGTCACAGTGTCCAGCTTTACAACAACCACAAGTTTCTTCTGTACAGCAACTGGACAGACCAGGACTATACAACCTAGAAGAATGATTGAACAAAAACAATGAAAAACAAGCCTGAGGGCTGCAGATTAAAAGTCACCCACCTTTGGCTTGGTAGCATCACTTTCTGTCCACTAGGCTAACTGATCACTCTCTGTTCGCTTACAACTCGATGGCACTTAACAACAGCATATAAAAATGACAGGTTTTTGTTTTGGTAATAGTTATTAGTTGTTACACTTTCTGTAGTTGTTTTTAGGTGCTGTTGAGTTGAATATGACTGATAATGATTATATTAACATCCGACCTAAATCTTGTCCAATCCTGTGCCATCCTCATCATCTCTGACACACTAAGACCCATTGCTGAAGTCATCGTGTCAATTCATATAATTGGGGAGTCTTTCTGGCCTTCACTGATCCTCCATGTTTCCAAGTGTAATGTCCCTTTCCAAAAATAGCCTTCCCTAGCTGTTGTTGTTATGTGCCGCCGAGTCATTTGCGACTCATAGCGACCCTATGTACAACAGCCCTAAACCCTGCTCTATCCTGTGCCAATCGCACTGCCTCTGACACACCCATCCTGATTACCCCAGTCACTGAATCAATCCACCTCATAGAGGGTCTTCCCCTCCTGCGCTGTCTCTCTACCCTACCAAGCATGATGTCCCTCTCCAAGGACCTGTCTCTCCTTACAACATGTCCAAAGTATGTCAGACAAAGCCCCAGAATCCTTGCCTCCAAGGAGTAGCCTGGTTTAACCCTCTCCAGGATGGATCTGTTTGTTGTCTTGGTAGTCCGTGGAACATTCAATACTCTTCTCCAGGACCACAGCTTAAAGGCATCAATTCTCCTATCCTCCCTACATGTCCAAAATAAGATGGATGAAGTGTTGACATCTTTGCTTCCAAGGAGCAGTCTGGCTGCCCTGTTTCTAAGGCATAGCTGTTTGTTCTGTTAGCAGTCCTTGAGATAGTCAGCACCCTTTTTCAGTGCCACAACTCAAAGACATCAATAATTCTTCTGTTATTCTTTGTCCAGCTTTCTGATACAGAGCAGGTTATTGAGAAGACCGTGGCCTGAATCAGGAACACCTTGATCTTCAAACTTGGCTCATTGCACTTAGAATTCTGGAGAGGATCCCTGACCATGGATTTGCCCAGTGCAGTACAGCTCCTGATTTCTTGACTGCTGGTGTGAAGGGTGTTGATTGTTGATCCAAGCAAGATGAAATCATTGACAGCTTCAATCCATTCTCCATTATCATGTTGACTCTTGGTCCTTTAGTGAGGACCTTTGTTTTCTTGATGTTAAGATGCAATCCATAATGAAGTCTGAAGTCCTTGATCTTCTGCATCATTTCATATTTTCATACAAAGCAAAAGTGATACAGTGCAAAGTGTAATAACTTCTGTTGTCCTACCCGTATCCTAAACAAGAGAACTGCACAACTGTAATATATTTGTGTATGGTGCTGGAGAAGAGTATTGTACATACCATGGACTGCTAAGAAAACAAACAGATTCATCCTAGAGAGGGTTAAACCAAACTGCTCTTTGGAGGCAAGGATTCTGAAGCTTTGTCTGACATACTTTGGACATGTTGTAAGGAGGCACAGGTCCTTGGAGAGGGACATCATGCTTGGGAGGGTGGAAAGACAGTGCAGGAGAGAAAGACCCTCTAGGAGGTGGATTGATTCAGTGCCTGGGGTAACTGGAGTGGATGTGTCAGAGACAGTGAGATTGGCACAAGACAGAGCAGGGTTTAGCGCTGTTGTACATAGGGTCACTATGAGTCGCAAGCAACTCGACGGCATATAACAACAACAACAACATATATATTATTTTATCCAGAAAAAGTCTTTTTAGACCTTCCTTCTTAATTACATCTGTTTTGAATAAATCTAATTACATACTTGCCTGTTTATAGAGTAGTTGGAAGTAGTGTATCAGAACTTTGAGAGGAAGATAATATTTTAAGGATAATAAAAAGTTTTAAAGTACATTTTCTGGGTGATGTTTGGTGAATCTCTGAAAGCACATTTCAGTATTATGCTTAAGACAATTACTGATTTCATCATAATTATATCACTTGCTTTATAATTCTACTAGTAACCCTGTGAGTAAATAGTGCAGTTATTATTCCCATTTTACAGAGGAATAAGCTTAGTCTTAAAGATGTGTAAGTGATAGATAAAAATGTAACACTTAACTTGTATTTCCTCGTTGCAATATGCAGAAATAGAACAGTGATTCTCAGAATTCCAGAGTAACGTGGGAATAATTTTGGATATTGAGGAATATGTGAGATTTTTTTACTTAACAGAATAGAGCATGTAAGAAGTTGAAAGATGCTGTGCTATTCTGGAGAGGTCCCTGACAGCAGATTTTCCCAATGCAGTTTGTCTTTTGGTTCTTTACTGCTGATAGGAAAGTTGTTGATTGTACATCCAAGTGAGGTGAAATAGTTGACTGTTTCGGGAATTGGTTAGATTTGCACAGGATAAGGCAATGCTCAGAGCCATTGTTCCAGGATTGAATGAGTTGTAGTTAACTCAATGGTCCATGAAGACCACACCACATTTATACTAGCCTTTCTGTGGTTAATTCTTTCAGAGTTCACAGCCACCCTGAAAGTGTCATTATCTTTGTTACCATTGTATACTGTGGAGTCAGAACTTACTCATTCTTACCCTCCAGTGGATTTTCCATCTGTTCTTTCAGATTATAAGCACAGTTCTTAACACTAAAGCCACCAGAACTCTCTCTCTTCATTGTCATTAGTCATTAAAAAGGTGATTTTTCTATACTGTTTTTCAGTGTGTCTGTTACTGTTCTGTACTGTGCAGTAAACTCATAACTGCCACTCCAGTGATTTTTACAGAGGCATTTAATCACACAGAAGGAGATTGCCCATTTATTCTCCCTGTGGAGTAGCTGGTAGATCTGAACCAACTAGTGCAACTGCTTACCACTAAGTCACCTCCTGTCTAAAGAGTCAGTAATTTGTTACAGGAGGGTTGTGCAAGAGAATTAGTAAATATTCATTTGTTATGTCCTGACCCCTTTAATTAATCATTTGCTATATTACAGAGCTGAGTTACAATTTTAGATGAGATTTCCATCTGTTTGTATTTTCAACTAAAATGATAAGATTTCTTTAAAACTGAAACTTTGAGTTCTCGTTTTGCTTCACTTAGAAAAGTGGATTCTGCACCCCTGCTTAACTGCTAAACTTCAGCTAGCTGTGACTGTAAATTTTAATTTTCTTGTTTTTCCTTCTACTTGTGGCTTATGCAGTAGTTTCTGTATGTAAACTAGTATAAAATAAACTCACAAAAACCCAATAATTTTTAATGGGGGAAGAAAAAAAAGATTAATAACTAAATTGTATTTATGTATTTTTCAGGTTCCTAGAAGCCAGACCAAGCTGACAATAATGCTTGAAAAACTAGGAATGAATTATGATGGACGGCCTCACAGTGGACTTGACGATTCTAAGAACATTGCTCGAATTGCAGTTCGAATGCTTCAGGATGGCTGTGAACTCAGAGTCAATGAAAAAATGCATGCGGGACAATTAATGAGTGTGTCCTCCTCCTTACCAATAGAGGGCACTCCAGCTCCACAAATGCCACATTTTAGAAAATAGCATTAGTGGTGTTTTTCTTAAATCATTTATTCTAACAGGATTTGCTGCAAAGAGGTGGCAAAATGAAGTCCTACAGTGTAAAATTCAAGCACCTTAAACATTTAAAATCCTATCACAGTTAAGGATACAACTAGTTATATATATCTATGTCTTTGAACAGATTTTGTAGGTAGGGTGTATTGTCACCAGCACTTTTGATATGATGAGCAGTATTTGTTACACAGTAACAGTTCCTGCTTAGAACTGAATTTTATAATTTAAGGTGTCCAAAATTTATTCCTTTTGGTTTTAAAATGATAGTTTTATTGGGATCCCTCTTAATTGTATCATCTTATTAATGTTAAAACATAAAGCATTTCTACATTAATATCATTAGACCAATCATTTTAAAATGCAGGAAAGATTTGAAGGCAAGCCTTATCTAGCCCATGGCTTTTAAGCATATCACAGTCCTTTTGAATTTTTTTTTTATTAAATTTTATTAGTTTGAATGAACATTTACAGGGATTTTGGGTTTTCATTCCTTCATTGCTGCACCATTCTCTCTACCCTCCTCCCCAGTTTGTTCTTCTTCCCCGCCATCTGAATGTCTGTTT